GTTTCAAAACTAAATACCCTTTTAATGACAGATTTTTTAATTCAATATAGTTGATATTTTTCTCAGCAAAAATGTCAAGGAATATCGGTTTGCAATTGAAATAGGAATATAATTTTTTATTTTCAGCGCTTATAACGATTTTTATATTGTGCCTTGAAATGCAGGTCATTTGTCACCGCGGATGATGATCCCTGATAATCCGTGGTCAACGACATGGGCATCGGCGCAGCCAGTTTCCGCACATCGGCAGAAACGATTGTTCGATGACACGCGAGAGGCGGAGAAGGCTCTGCATTACCTGAGTTCGAAGCGAATAGGCCAGATCGCGCAACTCTTATTGCCGACTCTGACGCACGCCGCGCTCCATACCCTGAGCTCACAGAAACAGGAAGCTCTACCGAGTCTGCCCGATGTAGCACAGAGTATACTTAATAAATTGCAATACGCGACGAAACCAATTCATCAAAAGCTACAATTGTATGAGGTACAGTCGGCAAATCTTCGATCATAATCAATCATTAGATCGATTTCGATTATGCTTAAATAATGTTTGTCATGAATGTTTCTATATTACATATTAATGTGCGCGTATAAATAAATATATTTGAAAGTTTTAACAAATATTTAGACTTTCTTTTAATTTCTTCAGGAAATCACGCGTGACATCGAGAGCGTGGAAGCGCTGGTTGCGCAAGTAAATTCGTTACAGCACAAGCTGAGCGGTAACAACGACAAAGAATTCACGTCCTTTTTGATTCAATTGATGCGGGGAAAGGAAGTGAGCGTGCCCGGCGGTTCCAGAGGAGACATCGGAGCTCGAATAACGACGATGTTCCGCGACGCTCAAAAGGTAGAGATACATTTTTACACGTTGTTATGGTATCGTACATAAAAGAGAAAGAAAGTTTTCTATTCGAACACAAAATATTTCGATTTTATTTCAGGCCGCTCACATGATGACGTCCGTCAGTAACACCAACAAAAGTACCTCAAGTGCGGAAGATAGTCGATACAAAACGTTCCCCGAACCGTCGTGCAAGGAATTCATTTTGCGAGCGATAATGCCACGACCTTCGCCAGCATCCACGCCGCAGCCGCAGCGGCTGTATGTCTGCCTTAAACGAGATCACATTCGTTTAGCCGGATTCTTTTCCGAAGATACGACGTTTTTATAATGTCGATCAAACGGCATCATCGTCGCATTTAAGTAATTTTTATTGTAAAAAATCATACGCGTCTTTTGGATTTGCCACGATAATGATTGTGGATCATGTATCGTTTGTTCTTTTCATTGAATTCGTTGTTCATTCGTAATTAATTTTCCTAACACATCA